GACTGTTAACTTCGACTTACGTTTGCGCGTATCGCAATGTTTTGTGATGTTGCTATAAATGAATCGACGCGCATAATCTCCTTTATAAATCCCACGCGATAGATAAGGAGGGGTAAGTTTTACGAGTACATTTACGAGATTGTTTATTGACGCGTCGCGGTGTAAGTTTGCGACTAGCGATTTACGCATCGCTTTGTTCTATTTCGGACAAGGTTGTCTATAGTTACGTTTGATCGAGATAGTAAGCGGAGTTACAGCAACACCGCCTGCAAATGAAATGGTTCGTGCGCTCGTATTCTCTCAGTTTTATCTTAGCATGATGATTTAGGTGTCACCTAGATTGAAAGGCGCCGCTTTAAGAGCGCACCGCTTTTAGATAATCCCGTAAAATTCGCTTTACGGCGCTGTAAACTTCCCTGAATAAAATTGATCCGCGCATTAGATAATTACCGGCTGACTTGTATCGGCCGACCTGTATCGATACACACGCGATATATTACTGGCAAATCGCGAAAATAGAAACACAATACGTAATAATAACTAAGCGGATCGATCGTTGTCCTATTTTTCGCAGGTCCAATTCGGCATATTATTCGCGATTCGACACCTTTTTGTCCCTGCGACCTCGTGTTCCGCAAATCATTACTCCTGACTCGTTTCGAGTTTGTTTGCGGTATCCCCGTCGCCGTGCGTTCGAGAAAAACAGGAAAGAACAACACGGGTCCTCGCTTCCCTCCAATTTTCGTTACTCGACACGAAAGAGTGAACCATCCCTCCGAGGTCTCGCAAGCATCTCCGGGACTTCGTCGTTTTCCCCACTTTGGGAAGACATGGCGCAACGGGCAGAACGGGTGCTCGTAAGTTAATGAACGTCACGATACATCGTCACTCTGGTCTTATCGTGAATATCAAGCGGCGAGCTCGAACTTCTCAGTTTGTATTTAGCGAAGTTCCGCTCTTTGCAAACTTCGAGTGCGCTTCGAGCGGCTTTTGGCTCGCACTAAAACATAGATACACGCGCACGTGTGTGCGTATGTGTGTGTCCCTCTTTTGTAATTATACGAGCGGTGTAATAATAGACGGACGCGGTATAATTATTATGAAAAATTTACGATCGTGTAACTTATACTCGTGGGACTCGCAGCGCTGAATATTTCAATCTGCATGCAGATTTACTCGATTCGTTACATTATTCCGCTAAATTCGTTGACGCGCCAATCCCGTTTCTTTTTGTACAGAACGACGGGCTACGGCTCTCGAATATATTCGATGGCTCATGATGTGTGCGGACACATAATGCCAGATCATATTTGACGTATGCGTTTCGCAATGACGTGTCTATGGCAAAATGATCGGCCGGTGTTTCGCGGGGCGAGAAAAACAGCGGGGTGTTTTGCACGCATTTGTGACGGCGAGCGAAAACCGGGGTGACATCCGCGCGGGAATCGCACGCAAAAACGGAGGCCACCGGAAACGCGCGGATTTGACATTGTCATTGCCGCTTGTATCTTGCTGATGCTTCGAGGAGGCAAGTGGACTGGAAAGGAGAGCGATTCCCTTTTTATGAGGATTCGCCGACAGCGTAATTCGAATGCAGGGGGAGACGCAAGAACGGATAAAGCGCGCACTCACGGCCGTTTTCCGAGCGGCTTTCCGCACGACTGGTTATTTCCACGCCGAAGAGACGAGCTTGTTTTCCAAATAACGAGGCTTCCGTTAATCAACGTGCACTTGTGAAACACACAAGTGTGGTTCTATGCGTCACGCTCGAATTATTCAGTTGAATTCTTTTATATTTGATTTTGCATTTCGATAATATCCGTGTTCCTTCCGCAGAAACGCCTACGTTTGCACGAAAATACGGGAATAAATTGATGAAACGTAGTTGTCGCGTGCATTTGACACTGTGGTAAAACTTGTTAGAAAATTGATTTTCCCGGCTATAATTCTTCTCACTATGATGATTATAGTTATAAATACCAAACATTTTTCTCTCAGTGTGTGTGTGTGTGAAAAAATCTAGTAAGATTACGAGTAGGAATGTACCTATTTATAATTGACCCTTTTATAATTGATAAAGGGAGGACACAATGCGTAAAATTGAAAATCTGCAATTTCCGGGGCGGTCGGGAATTCACGGGGCCGAACGACAGGTCGATTCGCGCGCAGTTTTACGCGCGCGAGTCGTCATTCGGTAGACACCGCGAACGGTCCGCCAGCGGGCACTCGAGAGCAGAAGCGGCTCCGTAAAACGTCGCGACTAGAAATTACCGAAGCCAATTCAGGTAGCACACGTAGAGGTGTAAGGTACCGCCCGGCTGTTCCGATCGATTCGAAATTAAACATGGAGGAGCCGGTGCATACGATGCAGGAGAGGAAGTAATCGAGGCAACCTTGTCGTGCCACAACGATAATCGCGGCTGTAGTTCAGGATGATGTTTCGACGTAGTTGAAGTTTCCGAGAATCTTATCACGGCGCGTCACCTCGCACGTGCTGCGGTTTGCGAATCGGGCAATTCCTCTTGAAAGTCGACGTCGGTGCGTTTTTCCCGTCGACGACGGGCTCCTCCCCTCGTTTTCACTTCAAGGTAATTCGAGGGAGAAAATATCCGGGACTCGTAAAATCACGGACGGCGAAGTCTATCGCGAGGTAGCGTTCCTCGACGGGCCGTTCAAGTAACCCCGTAATCGCTCGCAATCGAATCGTGATTCCATATCGAACGACTCCGCTCGTTGCTTCGGACTCAACCGCGGAATGCCGTGTCTGCGTTGAACTATATATATATATATATATATATATATATCTTGATATGTATATCTCTCCGGCAGTTAGAGGTCAGTCAGCCCGAGTACACGTGGAATCGGCGCCGTGCGAGAAGGCCGAAGCGAATAAATTCGCCCCGCTGCGCCATCCGATCGTCCAGACAGAGAAAGAGAGACCGACGGGCGGGAAGTTGACGGATGTAATTTTTATTCGAACCGAATAATCCCAAGTGATAAATCGAACCTTCGATTTGGAGCCCCGCGGCGTATAGATTCGATACAAAAGCGCGCACTGTGCAATATCTCGTACATATTATACGTGCATATATATTTCTCGCTCTTCTCGCTCCTCATTCCAAGATCCGTTGGCGAAATATTAGCGTTTCCCGCCGGTCGATCTCGTACAATGCGGCGCTCTGTAATGAGAGACGCTCGATTCACGGTCGACACAGACGCGAATCTATAGAAACACTAGAATGTAGCGGACGTGTCGAATTATATACTCGGACACACATGTGCAAACATACATGTGAGCGCGCGCGGCCGACCACGCCCGGCAAGGTGCGGAGTTCATCGGTCCCGCAGGACGACACACATGTAAACATCTTCCCGAATTTATAAGCACAATTCTAAGCGTATCGCGGGCTCGCTATTTTTGGCACGGGCCAATCGGCGGGGGCGGCGGTGTCGCCGGCATACGCGAGCGCATCACGAAGCCACTAAATCAGGAAGTTTCCGAATGACATTAAAAGTTGAGACGTATTCCGTAACGTTATCCGGGGGACGGAGGGGTTGGAACGTCCGACTCGGGGAGATCGGGAAGTTACAGACGAAATTGTAAGGCGATCCTCGCTATCCCGAAGGTAAAATGGCTCAGTCGCCGCTGAACGAACGAACACTCTTCTGTCGGCAGGGTCTCGTCGGCAAGGGAGTGTCACCGCGCTGGAGAACGGCGAGACTCGCGGAGGGCCCTCCGCGTGATCAAGCCGGCGTCTCGTCGGAGGTGGTGGGCCGCATCCAGGAGACGAGGCACGGCGAGATGACCATGTGACTGTCGGCAGCCGCCGCCCCGTCTCCGGCTCGTCTCTCCCGAGGGATGTCCTCCTCCGCGGATACCGCCTGCACGGACGCCGAGGAGGACGCCGAGGATGTGGAGAACGACGTCGCAGGTACGGCGCAGTCGTCACGTTACCTGTCGTCGGTTCACCGTCGCCGCGGGAACGATCACTTGGAAGGACTGCGGTTAGATGGGTCATCGGTCGTACCTCCGCCATCATCCGAGGACACTTCCGGGAGCACCGAGGGACGCCCGTCGACGCCTTGGGGGTAAGAAGGAGAAGGGCGCGTCGCGAAGCATCCTTCGCGAGGTGCGACTGCCAGGTGGATCGATCGGCGCGGCACTGCGGTCGATCGTCCTCCTCCTCGACGGCCCTCCTCGCCGGCCGAGAGGCCAGTTCGGCGAATCGGCTGGACCGATCGATAGATCGACGAGAGTCGTCGGCACGACAGACGGGTTCGTTGAGCCGGCGCGCGAATTGATCGGGCCCGGCGGTGCGCCGATCGCCGAGCGGTCCTCCGGCTCGATAAACGAACTAATCCCGTCGGACGTCGCCGGCCTCCTGGGTGAGCCGTCAATCCGATCCGCTAAATCGATCGACGGGACAGACCGGCACGAGGAACGTCGGCCGATAATCGGCCGGCCGGCCGCCTTCCGTCGGTCATCGAGCGTGCGATTAATTACACGCGTCCGGCGAATTGACCGCTTGAGCACACGCGCCACTCGTGGGGGGAGCCGCTCCTCGCCGTCGGGTGGACCGTCGATCCGCGTCCCATTCCGAGCTGCCGCGATGACGTCCGGAAGGAGGACGTCGTTCAGATGACGAAAGAAGTCGTCGTTCCAACCCCGCCGTCATCGTTCGTCGAGGAGCCTCCTCTCGACGGGAGCCTGGAACGGGCCGGCCCGGTCCAATGGGGAGCGAGGACAGCGATAAACGGCACGAGGATCCGCGACGATCCCTCGAGAGACCGGCGACTCGCCTCGCTTTCCGTTGCTTCGCCTACCGCAGGCACCGCTCTATCCGGACAGCGTCGCGGTAATCCCGGATGCGACGCAGCGCCGCCGTTACCCACAAGTGCTCCGCTCGATCCCAATTGCACGGGAGTGTGTCGCGAAAATCGCTTGTTACGCGCGCGAAAACCGTATCGAAAGCACCGGTCTGATGAGTCGACTCCTCCGCGGGCTGTGCCGTTCTGTGCTCGTCGCGAGGTACCCGGGAGTGAGTCCACAGGTGTAAGCACAGTGATACCGCGCAGGGTCCTCGCGATGTGTCGCGGCCGGCTCGAGATCGTCCTAGCCGCGGGCTAGCCGAGGTCCTGACAGCCACCGCAGCGACCAGGATCCGGGACCATTCAAGCGAGAAAGGATGCCAGGGGGGCGCAGGGGCCTGGTAGCCCCCCAAAACACCTTCCTGGAGAACATCATACGACGCAGCAGCAGTCAACGTGAGTTCCCCCCGCGACCGAAAGAAAAACAACTCCGTCAGCGTGATCTTCTTCATTTTTTTCCCCCGTTCTCTCTGAATACCAGACGAAAACTCGGTCGTACGTGGTGACAAATTTCGCGATCAATTTAAACGCGCTTCGCACCTCCCGAAGCGGTCCGCAGCGAATTTCCGTGGTTAATTTAACACCAGGCGTTGAAACGTAACAGAAGAGGGTTTTTTTTTTTACTATACGGTGAACAATATTTTATACTTGCGTTAAAATCGGTCCTTGTTGAAATTTTCCTGTTAAATTTTCAACGTTCCGTCAATTTAACGTACCGGTCCTGTTGAGAACGGTTCGTACAACGATGTTTAGCGCGCTGACAAGTCGAAGGGTGAAGTTGCCGGGCCGGAAGGACGAATATCGAAAGCTTTTTTTTAACGAGGAAATTTCGGCCGAACGTTTCGATTTGATGAAGCAATTATACATATTTGGGCATACTAGAGCAGCGTACGCTATAGAGACAGGGAGATATTTGTGTGGTGGAATATATTCACTTGTCATTCTACACGTCTATTTAATTATTAATTATTGTGGTTGCACGAGTCAATATCGCTGATTATAATTTCGTGCTGTTGTGTATTTATGCTTGTAAATACGCGTCGTGATTCGGGATCGATAGTGATTTTGCCATTGTGGCCATGAATTTTATATCTATAACGTGTGCAAGAGCAATATATCGTAGGAGATATTTTCGCGGACTCACCAGCGTCATAAATAAGCCTGTTGGCAGTTACGGGAGGGCTAAATCAAGCATGTAATTCAATATCGATTTTCCTAATTGGAATACCTTGAATTTCCGGAATCTGCCGGAATTCTCTATATTCATATACGTTCGAAAATAGCAACGGCAGCGAATCCGACAAATCGCGAACGAAAGCGATCCTCCATTCGGTTACTGCGATTGACCCGCTCTTTTACAGAAAAGGAGTGTTTTTTAGGGTGTCGGCCACTTTCAAAGCAAAGGGCCCTGATATAAATCAAGTATCATTAGCGTTAGCGGTGGGGTACTCGAAGTCGACGGAGGTATAACGAGGGTGTCAATCAAGGTGTAACTAAGAGTTAATTAAAAGTTCGGAGTAGCCAAATTACAAAGCTCATCACTCGCGATTTCGTTCTTATCGTTCCGGGCGGTCAAGCGTGGAACCGCGGTTATTTATGGCGGGTGAAATAAATTGTACCCACTGTCGTAATTCAAGCGTGACGTTTCCGTCATTCCTCGTTCTTGTCGTTCGATTGAAAAAAAAAAGAAATTTTTTTGAAACGCCGACTTGCAACTTCGCGCTGACTTGTTTGCGATGCGATTTGATAACTGTGCGCTGAAACGCGATTTGGTTCTACATTAACCGCACAGATTCCATCGAACTTGAAGTACACCCTTAACACCTCGACAAAATTAGGGACTCTCGTTGAAATAAAAATCCTACGCAATTACGTAGGACATTCGAGATACCAATCTTGTTAAGGATATATCAGTGCAAAATCTCGAGGTGCAACATTATACAGACTATTGTTCTTTAACGTTGGAAACGGTTACCTATCGTCGTTTTGTTCAGACTTAAAGAAGAACTTATTTAGGAATTCTTTAATATTTCATCATACCAATAGTCTAATTTTTTATTTTAATTTTTCTTCATTTATATACATTCTAATATAAATTATAATATTATCGTAAATCTTTCTTTTTATATCAATAACTTACCCGAGTAGACAGATATTATGGACGATAAGCGTGTATTAAATAATCCAGCAAAGATTAACAGTCAAGTAGTTGAACAAAATCTCTTTATTATCATTTCATGTTGGAAAATTAAATGAGATTCGGAGATTGAAAAAGAAGAGTTGTAAGTTTCGTCATCGGCTGCCGCTATGTCCTGCGTTCTGCATTCCGCTTTGGAATCGTCTCCTGGTCGTCGTTGCGACGCTCAATGGTCCCACACGAAAAAGTCAATCGAACGAGTCAATTGGAAACGCAGCGATAACTAATGATTACACGTTAACCGACGGCAATCATCGAACGTTACGAGCTTTTGATACGCGCCATGCATGCAACCGTCTGAATAATTTGATAATTTGATAATTTTCCCATTTCAAAGCTCCGAAATGTTTTGGGAGTGTTGATTGTTGTGATCTCGCGGTTGCCGAGCGGCACGCGATGCCGTACTCTTTTTGCCCGTTGTTTCGGTACCCTCGCACGCGCCTCCCGTACTTTTACACAATAGAGTCATTACGTTTCGCCGACGGACGACACGCGTATCGCGACGCGGCCTCCGTGTATTGTTACCTTGTTTACACAATACTCGTCGGATGATTAAAATATCTCGTGTCGATCGTTCAAATATTTAATTGGACTTCCGTCGCATTACTTAACTCGTGCGTTTCTCCGATTGAGTCATACGTACGTGAGTGTGTCGATGCCAGTGAGTGTCCTGTGCGACGAAGCGGCTAGCAGCGGGATACTGTGTCGGGAAGCCAGAACGCAGGACGCCGAAATGTATAGGCAGCGATACATCATATATTTTCAGTTATGCGAAATTATTTATCGCACAGATCCGTTTTACACTGTATTTGTGGAATATTAAATAATTCTTGAATGCGTTTCTTCAAGCCTCAATATAGAAAAAATAACAGCGTATAAACATTTACGACATCGTGGTAGGAACAATAGCCCGTATAATAATAATAATAATAATAGTGTTACAATATAGTATTATATCTCGAAATTCTGCACCCTCAAGTTCGACTGTGCAAGATTAATAGAAGCAAAATTTCGACTCGGGGAAGTTTTCTCGATGTCGAGTCGTTGGCAACTCAATTTGCGCACGATGACGAGGAAACTCGACAAAGCGCGTCATTTCGGCGCTCAAATCGCATCAGACGGCTAAGCGGGTGCGTTTCGACCGTGACACGGCGGAAACTTATGACAAGCCCCTTTAACAGGAGAGTTATAGCGTCGTGAATAAGGGTCTTATCCGTTGACCATCGCCTAGACGAAGGCGCGCGCACTCCGGCGAAATTTCGATGACTACGGTGTTCGTTTTGTCATGTTTACGGGGTACCCAGGGAGATCTTCATGGAGGCCGCGGTGCCTCTTAAATTCCGTTCGACATATAAGATCGAAATCCCCTCGCGATTTCCCCGTAGGATAATAAATCTCGGGACTCCTCGGGGGTGTCGCGCACGCACCACGCAGGCACAACATCAGGCCGTCGGCCCGATATCTCCTCCCGCTTCACCTCTTCCACTTCGCCCGTTGCGTCGCGTGACGACGCTCGCGAGAAACGATGTAGATTTATTCAGACTTCGTCCCCGGAAACTGCTTTGCATGATGGCAAAGACGGGGCATTACGCACGCGGCGTATAAAGTCGTCGCTTTCGGCTTCCGGCTTTTTCGAAGGAATCTCTCTCTCTCTCTCTCTCTCTCTCGTTTGAGAGATTTATTAAGGTAGAACCGATCACGCGGTGCTCGTGACAGTGGAATAAGGAACGGGAGTGCGCCCATTTTCTAATAATATAATCGACAGTTGCTTCTCATCAATGATTTATGTATGACACATCTATATTAACATAAATTAATATAAATACAAATAAATATCAATATAAATTCATATTTATTAATAAAACGATGTAAATAATTAGAGTCGAATATATTGGAGACATTAATAGTTTTGCGAAAGATAAAACGGTACTACATTAAAAAATAGGTTTAATTGGATCTACCTGGCGGTGGACAATAAAACGCGTTTTGGTCGAAGAAAACAAAGTTTCGAGTTCTCACATAATATTTGTGTTACTTTTTAATATATTCACCTTGTGTCGGATTAACGCTTAAAAATTTGCGTGGACCGTTCGAGACATGTCGAATTCAACCCAACATATTTTACCGTGCAGATCCAATCAAACTCACTTTTCACCGTATCACGTTAACATTTCCATTACCGTTATCGAGTGAAAATACCGTTATCGATAGAAAAAAAGGGGGGGGGGGGAGGAAGGAGAAATAACCACTATTAATCAGCATTATCCCGATCGTGCCCAATTAATCGCGCAGTCGGCCGCTGTAACACGCAATTAACACCGCATCCGGTCCCGTTGCGTGGCGAAAGCTTGTAACTCGCGCGCACGGCGGGAGGCGACCGGAGGATTTACATCTTTATTCCGGAAGCGGGAACGTACAGTGTACAGAGAGCCATTACATCGTTACAATGGCGGCTGCGTAACGCCGCTGCTAACGCGGTGCAATAATGATGCAACGGTGGGTACCGATCGGGGGGGAGGGGGAATTATTAGCGACAACGATAGCGCATATTTTCGACGGGCCACTGCTCTGGAAGTAAATTACACAGAGCCGGAGAGAGAGAGAGAGAGAGAGAGAGATTCCAATACGGGCGTTTTCGAATACGACGAGTGCGCGCAGGTATCAACGGGCTCGCGTATACCTTTGATGCATTATCGTGATTGAAAATCATCGGCCGCGGAAATAGTCCGTTCGCGACACACAACGGGCCAACCGGGTCCGAACATTCCCCGGGTACCACCACCGGCTGACCGGGCCGCCCGGTGGCCGCCCGTTAGTCAAGTCGACGCCAGTACCTGTCGATAAACACCGTACGAGAAACGTTTCGTGTGTCGCCGCATAGCGAGAGGCGGTGACCGATGCGTCAATATGTGTGTCGCGTATTGTATATTAGATCGGTGGAAAGGCTCTCTTTTTTTCCTCTCTCTCTCTCTCTCTCTCTTTGTTTCTCTCTCGTCAGCTATTTGCAGATATTGGAAATGGATCCGCCGTACGGGCGGGCAGCTTTCACGCGAAAACGCTTGTACATCGAAAGTGAGAAATAGGTACCCTATCAGGTAGCCGGGTTCTTCCTTTTTCCCCTTCTTTTCTCGAGGTGGAGAGAGAGAGAGAGAGAGAGGGGGGCTCCCCTTATGCATGCATATTGCTTATATAATATGTA